CGTGGGGGGTGACGGCTGGGGCCGGCCGCAGAGGTGGGGACGCTGGCTAGAGAAGGGCAGGTAGGTGCGCAGGTCAGGTCAGGGGCTGGGTGTCTCTAGGGCTCCCGCCAGTTCTTCTGAGGAGGTGCACGCTGCGGCCAGAAGTGTGTGGACCCGAGCACCAAGGGCCGTCCCTGAGCTCGCCCGTGCTCCCTGGCCTCCCCTCCTACCCTCCAGGCCTCTTTTCAGGGTACCCGCCAGAGATGGGAGGCAGGAGACGAAGCAGCGGCCCCAGCCAGGTGCCTCTGGCCGGGTGAGTTGGAGGCAGAGGCGCATCTGTCATGAGAGCCTCCTTGCGGCCGGCAGGCGTCTGAGAAGCAGCAAGTGGGTGGTGGTCGTGGCCTGGTGCAGTGGAAGTCTGGCCCTGCCGCTGCCTCTGTGAAGCCCTCCCCAGTAACGTGGGCAGTGACAGCACCTGCTCCTGGTGCAGCTGAGGGATTGGGGGACGAATGTGTCATACTTGAGTAATTGCTCTGGGTCTCTGGTGAGTGCTGGTCGCTCCAGACACCGACGCAGCGCTGAGGACACCAGGCTATCTCTGGCCCGTGTCATGCACTCCGTCCCAGTTCTGCTGGCCCCTGTTTCTGAAGCTGTCGTTCTACCCCTTGATGTTCTGGAGCTGTCATTCTACCCCTTGATGTTCTGCGTGTGCCCTCCCACCCCTTACCTTCTGTGCTGAAGCGTAAGCACCCAGTTGCTACTCAGGTGAGTGTGAGTGGAAGATCCATCCACACCTTCGTCTCTGCACTCAAGTGTGTGCGTATTCTGCTGCTGTTTTCTTTTGCTTTCTTGGTTCCTTCTGTGGGATCCTTACAGGTGCTAGGCATTCAGAGGATGCTCTTTTCTGTCTGTGGCACAGATCTGGGATCTGGGCAGCCTTGCAGCGCGGCAGGGATTAGCGGTGACTGAACATGTCTGGAGATAGATGCTCCCGTGACTGGGATGGGCATGATGGCCAGATGGTGACCATAAGGCAGGTTGAAGGAGGCTGCCCACACCTGGAAGCTGAGCTCTCCAGCCGCCCTTCTCATCGCTCCTGTCCTGTGGGCCAGTTGTGCTGTACTCACGTGCCTCCCGGCATCCTTTCTGCCTCCAGGAGATGTGCTCATTCGTAATGTGACCAGGTGCAGTGGCTCACACCTGTAATCCCAGCACTTTTGGAGGCCAGGGCAGGGGGATTGTTTGAGCCTGGGAGTTTAGACCAGCCTGGGCAACAATAGTGACCTTGTCTCTTCGAAAAAGAAAAAATCATGGTGCAGACCAAGGGCAGAGGCGAGGCCTGAATGCTGGAGGCCAGCCACACTGCCGGCATGGCCTCCTCTTATGCCGGGTCATCAGCAGAGCCTGGGAAACTGCTTCTGATGGAGACTCTGCTGAGCAGCATTGGTTTTGGGGTGCCCTGACCTTCCAGCTGTGGTGTTGTTTCTCAGGTTGCTCACTCGCAGGACAGAACTGGGTCTCCGAACTGGGACCTGTGGCCTCCCAGCAGGACTGTCCCGGCAGCAGGAGTCTCTCTCTAGCCCCTGGCCGGCCAGGGGCTTAGGCCCAACGTGAGAACCAGCTCGGGTGCCTGTGCGCCCTGTGGTGACCCCGAGTTCTCGCGGCCTCCCTCGGCCTCTCCCAGGGCCCCAAGAGAGTTAAAGGGAGCGGCCCATGCCAGTGGCAAAACCCTCTGTGTCTCATCTTGCCAGAGGCTTCCCAGCACTGTGCTTGGGCTCCTTCCCGGCTCTCTCCCCATGCCTGGGACAGGGACTGTGTGTTGAACAAAGGACTCCGTGTTGCAGCTTCATGGGCTGCAGGGCCTGGGCCATGGCGAAGCCCACAGAGCTGGCTTTCCAGGGCAGGCCGTGGCAGAAGGCTGCCTTATCTGGCCTCTCTGGAGCTCACAGGGCACCCTACGCGTTGGTGTGTTTGGTCCTCTGTACACCTGCAAGGTATACCAGCAGGTGCAGTTAATTCTACTGTGGAACGGGCATGTGACCATAGAATGCTTGGAACTGATGTAGGAGCTGGAGTGAGAAGGAAGGGTGTTCAGGCTCTGGACTCTGTCTCTTTGGGTCCTGTATGGAAGCACTTTGCAAACCAAGATCCTGAGCTCCACAAGCAGATTCAGATTCATCTTCCAAATATGTTGTGACGATTTTGCAAACTGCAACAACGTCTTTCTGATGTGTTGTCTGCATTTCCTCCTCTGGAGACGAGGCTGTGGCATGGCACAAGTGGGCCGCAAGCCTGCTTGGGCTGCCCAGCTAATGGGTGGCTTCCCCGAATCCTGGAATAAACGTGTCCTGCCTTGTGGGTTTATTGAAGAGTGTCCTAAGATTGCAGTGTGCGAGGGTTCAAGTCGTCGTTTTTGTCACAGCTTGCTCTGCAACCAGGGGTGATGCTGATGCTGTGTGACTGGTGTCAGGAGCTGTCAGGAGTCTGAGGCTTATCCTCCTTGTGAGCCAGCAAGTTCACCCACCACCATTTCGCGGGACACGGGGTCAGCACAAGGATGGCTGACTGCTCCTGGCAGTGGCGTGGCAAGGGGACCCCTCCTCACTGCGTTGGCTCCCAGTTCTGGGTCTCACAGCGAGGGCCAGGACACCTGCCCGGGCAGTGAGCTGTGTCACAGGGAGGACCCCAGACTCGAGGAGCCTTGATGTCTCACGTCATGGCCCTTGGGCAGGCCTGCCTCTGGCCTCCGTGATGCCGGCAGCACTCACGTCTGCCCTTTCCTCTGGAGAGAGATGCAGCTGCTGTCTCTTACGGTCACTCCTAGCGTGCTTACCTGGAGCAGAAGCTGTCAGCACGTCTGCACGTGAGGCGCAAGGACCTGCGGCACCTGTGAGAATTGTGGTGCGTCATCTCCCGACAGCAAAGGCACAAGCACGGACTGAGTGGATTTAGCAGCTGATCTTCAGGGTAGCAGCGATCATCCACCCCTCCTCATTTCTGTTCATCAAAACTACCTCTAACTTTTATAAGCAAATGTTGTAAACATGATGCTCAAAAATGGATTCTCTCTGACAGCGGTCCCCAATTTTTTTGGCATCAGCGAGGGGTTTCGAGGAAGACCGTTTTTCCATGGACGGGGGGTGGGGATGGTTTCAGGGTGATTCAAGCGCATGACATTTATTGTGCACTGTATTTCTATTATTATTCATTGTAATATATAATAAAATAATAATACAGCTCACCATTTAAAAAAAGAAGCACAGAAGAAAGTGGCAAATAAAATACCGGGCAGGCCATGCACACACTAAAATGGGCGTCGGCTTCTGCCTTACAGCCCGCCCCCAGATGCAGCTGTACAGCTGAAGCACATCCACTCCTGGCCCCTCCCTGGTCGGGTTTTGGTAGGCGTCTGCAACCGCTGATCATGCTGGTCTGTGTGCGGTCAGACCGCCCTGCTCGTGCTCATCTGCACTGGCTGCTGCCCAGCGCCGGCATCAGCGCCTCAGCTCCGCCGCAGGTCGGCCGGCGTTCGCTTCCGAGCGTGCCCCTTGGGTCCCTCGCAGGCGCAGTTCGCAGGCGGGGTGGTGCTCCTCTGAGAGTCTGATCTGGGGCTCAGGCGGGGTGGTGCTCCTCTGAGAGTCTGACTGGGGCTCAGGCAGGAGCACCAGCCGTGGGGGTAGCTGTCGATGCAGGTGAAGCTGAAGCCTGGCTTGCTCTCCCCCCTCTCAGCCCCTGCTGGGCGGCCGGTTCCTGACAGGCCGTGGACTCGTCTGTGGCCTGGGGGCTGGGGACCCCTGCTCTGGAAGATGGAAAGAAAGAGGCTAGTTGATTACCAGCTTTAAGGCTATACTGTTCGTAAAGAGCTGTTATCTCTTCTCACAGGGCGTTTAACAAGCTTAGAACAAAAGTCAAGTGGCTTTATAATTCACGTACAGCTTAGTTTCATGGGCAATTTCTGGCCTGGAAGCAAGTCCTTGTTGGATACGCCTCATGATCTCTCTGTCTATCTCTTTCTCTCCTGTCTCTCTCCCCCCCTTCTCTCTCGTCTCTCTGTCCCTCTCCCCACCCTTTCCTTACCCGGGCCATTTTCCCTGGTCGGTGTTGCCTTCAGTTTTTCTTCATCGCTTCATCTTACCCCTTCTCCATTTCTCTCTTTACCCCTCCTTTCATTCTTCGTTTTGGT